TCAACTCCAACAGTGGACATCAGCTTGCGTGTCATCGGGGCAAACGCCACACCGCCCAAGCCACTGCCAGACCACACAATACCAATCGCCAGTCCTCGCCTCTTGGTGAACCAAGGCGCTGGCACAGAAACACAGAGTGTAATGCACAAACCAGCACCAATTCCAACAACGATGCCCTGGAAGATGATCAGCATTGCGATGCTCTTTGCAAACGACGCGATGATCATACCAAGACCCATTATCACTCCTCCCATTGCAATCACAATCTTGAACCCGCCGACAAGGCTAGACAGAGGGCTAGCAAATGGACCAGTTGCATTCAGAAACGCGACCTGGAGTGTACCGATTAGTGCAATTACAGCAGCTGGTGTATCCTTGTAAAGATTGTTCTTGTACAATTCTGCATACACGCCATAAGAGTTCAAGAATCCGTAGCTGCAGAACACGGCAACGAATGATGAAGCAACCACGAGCCAGCCCAGGCCGCCGTCAGGAGGAGTGGCGGGCTCCTCGACAGGCTGCTGCTTTTCGAGGTCTCCCGGCGCGTTGCTGGCATTGTCGTCGCTGTCATACTCGGAGTTGACAGCGGTGAGGTCTTCAACAATGGTTGTCACTGCCACAGCAGAAGACGGCTCCACCTGTTTGATGTCCTCGTGTGTGATTGTTGATACGAGCGTGTGGTTGAATTTTTCGGTGTTTGATGTGGCAATGTGAAATGAGTCGGAAATCGAGACTGGCTCATATGAACCAGCCACAGCCTTTTCGGAGGACATGGTCAATAGAGGTCAATGAAAGTCAAAAGAGAAGAGAGGATAGAGTGCGAGAACAATTGCTAGTTTGAAAGGAACTTCATGAAACAAGGTACTATGACCGCGCCACCAATTGTTTATATTCCTGTCAGACGGCAAGTCCGACATTAACCCAACTTCCGGTTCCGATGAGAGCTGGGAAGATTATTCGTTATGCTGACAAAATAAAAAGAACAGGTATTCATCATTGGATGTTAGTAATCACTTTTGCCTCAGGCGATGACTACGACACAGCGTGTATGTGTCATCTAGTAAAACGAAGACAGATACACTTTTGTCAGCACCACATACATGACCATAATGCAGCTACGTAATAGCGTGCCGAACTCTCCATTACCGTAGCCAATCTCAATGCGAGCATTAATCCTTCTCAACTCCAACTTTTTGGGGGAGGAGGGGAAAGAGGAAAGGGGGAGTGATTGCACAATGCGGCTGCGGATATCCGCAGTATAACGTGAATATTTAGTCTAAACTCAAAGCTATCATGAGTAGCGAGCATTGACAACAAATGATGCGACCAGGTGACCATATCCACTCCGGGTCTTTACTTCACTGATATTGTCATTCTTGTTGAACTCATTCCACATCGTCTGACCACGCAGTGTTGGATAGCAGTTTGGATGTTTGTCGATTTGTCGATTTTATTCGCGTTATTTGTTACCAAAGTGACTGGTTTGCTCTCTCTGATCTCAACTACTCGACTGAAGATTAACCACCACTACCAACAGCAGAAAAGAACAACAGCTGATCTACCTAACAGCCAGCCAGCCAGCCAGTTATGTCGACCGTGAAGATCAAAACAGAGCCAGCAGCAGCAGCAGCAGCAACAGCAGTCGACGTGAAAGTCAAGCTCGAGCCGAGCCTTTCAACAGCTGATATCAAACTCGAACAGCACTCTTCAGACATTGACACCAAAGTCGAGTCTGACTCGGATGCTGGCAGCGAAGAAGACGACGAAGACAACATCAAATCTGAGAGTGACGAAGGCTCCAACCAGCACCAGGCTACAGAGGCTCCACAGCAT